ATATATAAATAGCAATCAATAAGTATAATATCTCCCAAAAATACGTTCATATGAATAGCTGTCAGTAGGAGTCAAATATTTTTTAGACTGCTTAGGTATGTATTAACCATACGTGCAAAGAAAACTTGTATAATTACTCCAATATTATGTTAGCTTAGTAGGGAAGAGTGGCACAAAACAATAAGTAGGTACTTACCTTGGGGACATTTTTCCGGTTCTGGATGAATTATTTCTCTATATTATCCATAATGGCATTTAACGGCGCCTCATTTCTTCATCTTAAAAACACTGCTAGTCTATTTAATATCACTATAGAATTAACAATTCCATTAAATTCCTATCATTCCAACACAAAATAAAAAATCGCTTCGCTTAGTGACGTATAAGATCATACTGATTTAAAAAGTAAACAAACAATAACCCTTGTCGGGAACGCGGTGTGTGCTATCCCTTTCTTACATTAGCTCAATCAACACGGGGAAAGAAACAACAACATACTTTGTTGTTCAGTACGATTATGTGTTTGCTAAAATCGATTAGAACGAGCTCATAATTTTGAACTAGAATAAAATATATGGTTTGTAAGACGCGTAGTATTATTTACTAGAATATTAAAAAAAGCTACATTGTGTATATAAAAAAATTTTGAAAGCAATGTTATCGTCTATATTGTTAGATCAAAAAAATTTGAATAAAATAATATTTTTTCTAACTTTTTAAATAAACAAAAGAAAAATTGAAAAAATGGGAATATTAATAATTAATATATAAAACTATATATAGGGTTATATTTTTTTGATATATATTTTTTATTTAATTTTTTTCTTAGATTATTTCGTGTGTGTGTTTTTGTTTGTAATAAATGATATGTCTATGTCATTCTATTAATTGAATAAGCTTATTACAAAAACCTTTCGATAATTTTAAGTTTCTTATTTAATATCTCTCATTACAAAAGTATGTTTTTTTTATTACACTATATAGAATTTGCTACCTTCCTATATATCACGGCATTTTAAAATATATAACAAGTGTTTAATACAGCAGTGGTCAACGACATGTGGCCAGCGATGGTCGGCAGATGGAGTGGCTCATGGCGTGCGCGCACTCAATGCTTACTTTGCAATTACTTGCAATTTATAAAAAAAATACTGCGATTCAGACATCTGCTAAATGTAAAGTAGAAGAGAACAAATGGACACGGGATACTGTATTTTCCTTTGTTAACAAAATAATGCTGCAAATCCTTTTCTCAATTATAATATTACATATTTGGAAAATGACACAATATACTTGACGATAACTCTGTGTCGAATCCGTAAAATAGTCAAAACTGTGTTTAAATAATGGGTTCTATATTTTATGGTTCTCTGTAGTCTGTGTTAGTTTATGATCTATTCTTGCACTTTCGGGCTTTTGATTGATTTCACCCGAGCCCTGTTTGTGCAGACGTTGCTAAATTGTGTCTAGTTCTAATATTAAATTATTAATAGTAAATAAAAGCCTTTTCAATATATAACTCATAGTAATTAAATACTATCAAAATGAATTTTTACCTGAGAGTGTAAGTATAACGCAGGGTTTGCGTTCAGAGTTCTTGTTTTAATAAACAACTCGCAGGTGTATCGGCACACAATACATAGTATAGTCTACCAGTTACTACAGTGATTCAAAATTATAATTACTAACTTTATTGTGTTCTTTTAATAGTGACTTCTTACTTTTATCTATAGTTCTTCTATTTTATCAAAGTAAAGATTATAAAACATTTCATATCAGTGGAACAATTCTTGATTAGTAATGATCAAGGAAAGATTTCGGAGGATGATTGCCAATTTTATTTCCAGAAGCACCACAAGGAGAAGAACAGTAAAGCTATAATTGTTTGATCATCGCATTTCTTAACTGTTCCGTTGTATATGCTGTGCGGTAGGTGTAACTCTGTGTATCAAATGAGCGAATCATTAATCTTGATAACAGGCTTAACTCGTTCGCTATTTTTTTAATTTGAACCGCGCACACAAGGGTTGAGGGGGGGAAAGGCGGTTTAAACGGAACAGAAAAATTGCTTTATTAACTTTAAACACTTGTAAGATTTTTAATTTTATATTATATTTAACTATACGTAAATTTGCACAAACACATACTTCTGTGTCTGCTTTACTTCAAATTACAACTAAAAATATTCATGAATCTTACCAAATTGTAGAAACTAAGCCGCTCAAAAGGCGCACAGCTGTTTCAGTGAACCACATGAAAGACTAATTAGTAACATACATATTTAATTAAACTTATAAAATGTATGAACTATGTTGTATGTGTCTGAAACGCATCGTCTCTCGACCTATATTAGGTAAGGTATGAATACATCCTAATTACTTCGTACGCAAACTCAAGTAAAAATTTGTAAAAAAATAATAAAAACTCAGTACAGATATTCTAATATTATTCCTACCACTGCTAGATTAGGCACGCAGATTTCACGTAGAGCAAGCTAATTTTATGCCCGTTACGATAGATATTCTATTAGCAAGGGACTGCTACCTGCTATTGTACTTTTTGCTTTTTTGCCCCCCGAGGACTAAGGAACTCGTTTGCGAGTTTAGAAACTGTGGTTAGTGTGGTGTAAATACTTTTCGAAATTATTGTAAACAAGCGTATTTGATTAATTAATTTACAAGTATCCAATTATGTAGGTACTTGCTTTATAATTATAAAAATAACTTAAAATTCATATTCCAGTTAATTTGTTGATATTAAAACAGCCAATTAACTAATTGAAGCAATTTAGCGCTTTACGTTCGAAAACCATTATTTATTTTGAATATTTATTTACAAAAAAATAACCCATTTGGAAAGCGTTAAAATATGCGCAACGAATTAAAAGCAAATCGTTTTCGGATATTATTCGTATTCAATGTTTTTGACATTATGCATTTTATATTTACAAAAACTAAATGGTTCCGAACGAGTGATCTCGCTTTTTATAAAACGAAAACTAAATATCTCGCTGGATTACGATGTGATTATCAAAACGCCAATCACCACCATCTTGCAGCGCTGAAACTTCAAACAAATAATTTACGTGAATATAAAACAGAATTACTATACATATTATATGTAACGTTGTACTCAACAATATTGCATAAAGATGTGCAATAAATAGGTAAATATATTGAGCTGTGCTTGGGAGAATTGCTAAAGAAAATTTACATGAGACGAATATTCAGTATATTTTGTCACAAGAATATAAAAAGCATTGAAAAATGCGTTGTATTTATGTTTGAAAGAAAAGTTTTTCGGAATGAGATGCTTTGTGGTTTTATCTCGCAGCAAATTGTCTTAAAAAGGGTTTCAAATAGTTATTTTAAAAAGAAAACTCTTTATTATTTGAATGGGTAAGCGTCCCAACATTTTTTATATAAAGTTTTATGTCGGAAAAAGTGGCAAAGGAATTGTTTTTGAACTTAGACCAAGAGTGTTGTTTGTTGTTTCTTGTAAAGTTTACCTCTTAATCGTATTACAAAATTAAATATGCTAAAAAATATTGATGGGTCTAGCCGACTGAAAGGAGCTCTCGACCATTTCTAACAGACATTCATAATAATAAGCTGTAGTCCTAGAATTCATTCGCTTGGGGATGTTTGGGCAATTATATTATGTATGAAACTTATGACATACCCAATTTATTTATTTGACGTATAGTTCTAACGAGGACGTTAAAGACGTATTTAATGAATATATTGATTTGTTTGATTTTTTTAATATTGTATATTAAGAGTAGTCTCTGACCTTTAAAATCGATTCAATATTTTATATTTTTTGGGTCATTGATTAAGGACGTCGATATGAAATTAAAATTAACTTTTGAAATTGAGAAGTTATTTTGTGATGTATCATTTGTCGTAATCCGAATTTAATGAATAGTAATTAACTGTCCGTGTGTTTTTACAGGGAGAAAGGAGTCCTACTACCCTAACTGTCAGAAATATATTTGTTTTAGTAATAAGAGTATAACTCCTGAACTAGAAGTGACGCGAAATGGTTGTCCCGTCAACAAGTTTAATATTCAGTGTGTCCCAAAGTGTTTCGAATATATCGGTCCTGGATTCGGCACAATTTATAGATGAAGATACCCTGGCATTTGCTTACAAAATATTTCTTTTGTTATCTGCAGTTTAGGGGCGGGCCCACGTTTCGAGTTTCGACCCTTTTTTGCTCGATTTTAGTGTGTAATTGTATTAAAGTAATTCATATAGTGTACATGTCTGAAATTTTTAATTCCTAATATTGTTAGGTTCCTTTATCTAACTTTTAATTGCATTGATAATATATTCTCAAAAAAAATCTTTTAAACCTTTCTTAAGTATGTAATATTTGAAAAAGCTAAACCCAGTAAGTATATCCAACGCTTAGAGTAGTTATAATGATGCAGTACGGCGAAATAACATTTAATGGTGTATTCGAAAATGCAGATGTAATCAATAATATTATGCAGGCAGTTATTAAACAGTAAATTATCCTTTGAAATTGACCGATAATTTGAATAATCGGCGCTATTTTTGTTTCCCATCTCTACGCTATTAATTTAGTCTGGATTTAAACCAATTGCCAATTGGCGTGTTAAATAAAATCGCCATTTTGCCAACACTCATTTAAACGATTACAACGCAAACAATACAAATCGAAATGCGAATAAAAGCAGCGAAACGTGGTCATTATGGAAATTTATTGCGCTCGTACGTGGAAATTCATTTTTTCGTTCATCAGGCATTGTTCTATTGACCGCGGTTTGTGGCTCGCCACTCCTAACGGGAACTTTGATAACGTCAGTTTTACATCTCAAATTATTCGATCAAAATGTGTTTCGTTTTGTCGCTAGGCCCTCGCCGTGGGCATCTTTACCTGTTTTCTTTGAACGCACGCTAGAAAGGGACGGCCGATCGGAATCCGTATGGAGAATGCATTTCGACAATGCGTACCTACCTACCTAACGTGAAATGAAAGCGGCCGGGACGGAGGGCGACGCCACCGACAATGCAAGACTGTCTTACTGGTTATGCAACTCGCCAGCTTTCGGAAGGCCGTCTGCGCTTAGTGAACGGTCGCGGCGCTCCGACTCCCCGATTTCGCTGGTTATTCGGCCGACCGTGGCCGATGAAGCGACTGTGCGCCGCGCATTCTTGCTTCTTCACCAATCGCGACAAACTTCACGCCAGTTGTGCCCCAAACGTCGAGCGGGAGGGAGCTGTGCCAGTCGTCGCTTCAAAATCATCGTCATTACATTACTTCATTAATTTCGAGTGCCTCTAATCAGTTTCTAAGTTTGTTATATTGACTGAGTGGTGAATTAAACAGTGATGGATAAAGTTTTGTCGAGAGGAAACGGCTCACGACGATGAGTAAAAGTTTTAGTTGTGAAGAAAAAAGTTGTCTGCATGCATTCGAGGACAAAAAATATTGTGTTCGCCTAGTGATGGCCTGATGGGATCGCAGTGCGTGTAGCTAGTGATGTGTACTGTGATATAAATTATCGACAACCGATGATTGTCGTGTGTGATAAGTGTAGTTTAGTTACCAAAGATTCCTGATGATCTTGTACATTAGTTTGTGTTTCATACTAGTAGTTTTAGGTGAGTACCAATGAGACGAGCTCTCGTTGCGATTTATTGCAGTATCAGAGTTCAGAGTATTCAGAGTAGTTTATATTTAATATGTAGTGATGTAGGGAAACAGATATTTGCATTCATTGCAGCGGACGCATGATCATAAATCTTGAGAGCACAATGCGTGCTCTGTGCATGTAAATTGAAGTCGCGGAGAAAATGTTTATGTGCCGAGATAAAATTAAAATAAATAAGTTATAATTACAGCTTTTGGAAATATCGAAGCGAGGAAGACAGTGATTGTAATTAAAACAATCTCGTACATGTATTTATTCTGCTCATGCGATAGAAACTTTTACTAGTTAATTGGTAATACCCTTGGTTTTTAATACATTATGCCGTTATAACGAAATTTCTTCAATCGCTTGAACATTATGACAACGTTTTACTGGTAGTTATCGGTCAAAATGATCGATTCTCGTACTTTATTGAGGGAAAAGCTAAAAGCACTCAAGTCCAGTTATAATGCAGTAGATAAGTTCAACGCGTCGCGTCATTCGACACGTAATATTTAAAAGCGATAAATAACGTCATTTAAAATAATGTAAAAGTCAATATAAACGGCCCGCATCGTTACAAACTGAATTTAGGAGAAATACGTGAGTCGGTCCCGTTTCATGTCAATTAGCACTGCATTTTAGTAGTTTACAAACCTGACGGCTCTGAATATCCACAATTATTTCAGACAGACGTTCGACCGTTAAACAAGATTAATAATCCACTCATTCGGGTGGAATCGAGATCTATGATAGGCGTCTTTAATTTATTATATCTGTCAATCTGTCACCTATACGAGCTGTGTTTTTATTTTGAGTTCTCGTTACAACAATATAGATTATATAAGGATGTATTTAAATGTAATACAAAAATTCAATCAATGAAATCAAAATACGTTTATTCAGTTTAGATGCATCTTAGGGCATGCTTATGAATGTCAAAAACGTTTACAAAATTCGCGAAAGTGCAAAACTACGCCATCCGTTCGTAAAACTACCAAGAGTAGTATGGATTCCCGGCGACAGCCTCACTTCAAAGTTCCCCAACCGGTTGCTACCAGGAGGTCTTTTTCTGAGAAGAACGGGCAAGAAACGCAGCAAGTTTTACCCTCCCTCTACATTACAATTATTCAAAGGAAAATGTCATAAACCGCATGACTCCATAATGTATCAATAATAAATATACCGACTAATTAAACATTCTGAATTCAAATCGAGCGGAAGACTAGTCGCGGCTTCTCTGTTTACGTATTGTAAATGTTTATATTATAAATATTGATTTTCATTTAAACTCGTAATAATTAATAATTCACCGAAGCGAAATGATACGCTTAAACTTTCCAGTTAATTAAAATTTCTCTCAAATTAGTTTTCTCGAAATAAATTAATTTTGTTATTAACTAAGTAAGCTACGTTGTTCAATTATAACCACCTCGGATAGTTGAATAGTAATTTAAAGAATGGAAACAATAAATAATGCGATATCATATTTCGGCTTTGGTGTAGGTGTAGATAAAATCAAATAATTATGATCAAATAAAATTTTATACGTGGAATTAATGGTTGTTATGAACGCGACTTGGCGAGATATAAATCCATAAGGCTGTCTATTCACGAAGGGTTATTATGTAGAGAAGCTACTATCATATGATATAAAATATAATCCTTGATGCGTTTTAAACTTAGAGTGAAAAGCTTTCATATAAGATTCCAAGAAAGATTAGCTATTCACCGTCACTCAAATGTTAAGGCTAAGCTGCTTTTACATTTTTCTCAGCTTTTATATCATAAATGTAAGATTATTTTCACTTTCACAGTATTTTATACCTACTTACAAGCACATGCTTTTAAAACTAAGATTTCACTACAATAAATGCCCACTGTCTATACATAATCAAATATCATGTACACCAGCCCTAAAGCGTGGTTCTAAATAAACGAATTATCGCTGTCATAAGATTTTAAAAAGATATGCAAATTACACCGTGTGTTTATCTAATGCTATGAAATTAATTAAGTCCGGAGATTGAACTCGATTCGGGCCGTTATTTAGTCCAAGTTGTGGGTTCACGACCTTTGTTGGTATGCTTAATAAATAATATTATTCAAATTATAATCCCTGCTAAGCTTTTGTACCCGTAGAATATGATAAACTTAAAGCATTCGGCATACGTGACCGCTAACACAATAAACTCTTGTTGCTGCTTTTTGCCACAATTGTCAAAGAGGAGTACTTGACCAGTTTAGGATTAAATCAGTGCTCTATAATGTACTATGTCAAATAAAATATGTAACACAGAGATCCAATCTGACATAAATGATATCTAGAATTGGCCATTTGCACTTTTATAGTAAGTTGCAAAATTAACTTGAAAATATAAACATTTTTTAATATGAATTAAATGTACTGATTCATCAAAATATAACGAAATAATGCATATGAGCCACGACCGCAATGTATGGTCGGTTAAATTGCATATTAAAATAATTAAAAAATAAAAGAGAATTTGCAATTTCGTTGAAGTTAATTATGCAACGTTTACCGAGGTTTGTAAATGGATGGGCGGTCGAAATGTCATATGGATGTCAGATTTCCTAACGCAGTTACGTCCTGATAAATTTTAAATAGTAATAATTATAATAATTGTATACTGAGTTTTTGGCATTTTTCTTCTTCGTTCCAATGAAGTTGTATGCTACTCAGAGAACTGAGGGAGACGTCAAGATAATCGGTCTCAGGAGTCTTTTAGATCGTCATAAACCACACATCATACATCAGTAACATACATAAATAATATTTCGTTATTTTAAAATAGAATGACCTGACCTAAAGCGTATTCATTTTAAATAGCCTTTTAAAGTTAGAATAAAAATAATGATACTCTCAATATTTAACACAAAGCTCTACAGAGCTCTAAACAAGATGCATTTCCTTTGAAAGAGAGTCCTTTAATAAACCGGCGGTGCATTCTTTACAGGCAGTCTCAATAGTTTTAAAACTCATTTCAAATTAAAAACAGAAATAAAACAATTTACACAGAAATACATACAATGTCACAACATTCATTTTTTCAAATGAAATTCATATTAATTCTGTCGATATTATGAAACGGCATTAAAACGTTTGCCTACTCATTAATTTCTTGATTCCTTTACTCATTTTATATACACTGCTTATTTACAGAACAAAGTGCACGTCATGCGTTGTATGTATTATTATATTTTAACCAGACTATATTTGGAAAGCACAGATATTATATTTTTACAGAAAATCGTATTTCTATGGGTCGATATTTAAGTGGTGTTATTGTAGTGTATAGAAAGTGGTCCGGGCCCAAGCCGTGGCAAACGAAATTACATAGACGTGACTCGAAAACACGACTTCGATTCCGTTTTAAGACGCTTTTTATTTTAAACTGTAAACACTTTTTTCATTATTCTTTTATTTACCCGCTGCTCCCGAAATTTACTCGAAACGTTTTTCAATTTTCGCGACTTTGGCCCCACGACTTATTTTTTTGTCAGGTACCCAAAATGTCCTCAGAATCGATGGAACGCTTGTACAGATGACATCACTCCTCAAGTAGTAATAGCTAAAAATGCTTTTAACATTATTATGCGTACAAATATCGAGTTAGTATATATTTTAAATTGTCTAGATAATAGAAGACATTTTTTGTTATAACGCAATTGTATGCCTATTTTAGTACAAACAATCCTACAAACTCCATCTATATTCTATTGAAATCATAAAATTGATAATCCTTAAATTAGACAAATTGCTGCTCAGGAGTTAATGGATGTTCAGTTATTAGGTTTGAGGGAACGGATTTTAGATATTTTGTCTTTTGACTGATGAATGCTCGCCGTGTGCCGTTTTCAAATTATTTATTAATTGAGAAAAGAGCAAAAGTTAAAGGATTAGAATTTTTAAGTATGTCAATAGATACAGAGGTTTAAATATAATTATCTACAGTTTAAAGCTATTACAGAGAGTATATCTTGAGTTTATCAGATTTTCTAACAATTGGAGCTGTTCTGGCTTGTATGTTAAAAAAAGTAAAATTTACAATTCACTTACCTATTAAAGTCATGGATTACTCGACAGTTCTACGTGAACAAAATATGCTGATATTTCAGAAAAATGTCCATCGGTCAACTAAAATACCTCAATTTTAATTAAATCCTTATTGAATATTAGCCGAAATTGTCGACAACGACCGACAGGAATTTGTTAATAACTGTTAGGCTGAATACCGAACAGGTAATATTCAATTTTAAAGCGTAAGCCTTTGATTGCGGCCTACTTCATGGAAATCAGCTTTTATTAGTCTTTTGGGATCAGTATGTTAAAGATTTCTGGGGTGAGCAGAAACGTGTTTTAACAACGAAATCAGTTTATCCGGTTTTAACATTATATAACCAAATATAATATCTTTAAACACAATTCGTAAAACTCCTGATTCCTTAAAAATAAGCACGAGGAATATTTAATTTCGATTTAATTAAACAATTGAGCGTTCGCTATGTATTATCATCCTAACGTCTTAAATCTTTCACTTTGTTGTGGACATTTAAATATCACCGAAAAAGTTAAGAAAATAAGTACTTATAAATATTTACTTTTTACAAAGA